GCCTCTGGCATTCTAGGTGTATCATTCATTTTATCATCATCGGGGACAGAATATTCAACACTCAAAGGAGGTGAGGATTATTTGGCTCATGGTTTCAGTGGGTTCAGTCCATGGTTGGCTGGATCCAAGGTAGAAATGGCATGGTGGAGGATAGCTGCTTACCCTGTGACAGCCACGAAGCAGAGGGAGAAGGGAGGAGCTTCGGACCAGAATACATCCTTCAAGTCACACTCCAGGGACCGCCTCCTCTGACCAGACCCCACCTCACTATAGTACACTCAGCTATGAACTTATCAGTGGATTAATCCACTGATCAATGTAGCACCCCCAGAATCCAGAGGTGTTCAGGCTCCACCCGTGAACCACCTGAGACTTTTGGATGTAGCTCATGCTGGCCTTGAGCTCACTATGTAGCCCAGGGTGGCCTTAAAATTGTGGCAATCCTTCTGCCTCAGCCTCCCAAGTGCTGGGATTATAGGTATGCACCACCACACCGGGCCTGGAGGACATTTTATATCCAAACTGTAACACTAGGCAAGCACTCTACCACTGAGTGACACCATTACTCCCCCACATTTATTTTTAATTTATATATAAAAGTCATACAGATATTTGGGGAACCATGTGATGTACTGGTACATGTGTATATCACATAATGTTCAAATCAGGGTAAGTATATTTATCTCCTCATTGATCATTTCTTTTCTCTTTTTTTCTTTTTCTTTTTTTCATACTGGGGATTGGACCCAGGGGCTTCACACTGAGCTACATCCCCAACCCCTTTTAAAATTTTTCCTTTTGACACCAGGTCTTGCTAATTTGCCCAGGTGGGACTCACACTTGTGATCCTCCTGCTTCATCCTCCCAGAGATCTGGGATTACAGGTGTGCACCACCACTCTTGGCTGAGCATTTCTTTATGGTGAAAACTTTCAAAATCCTTTCATCTGTCTTTTTGAAATGTACAGTACATTTGTTATCTATAGTTACTCTACTATGCAATAGCACACCAGAACTTCTTATCTCAGTACTTGTTGACCAGCATTTGGTGACTGCTGTTCTACTCTCCAGCTTCTATATTGCTTCTTCAGTTTTATCAAATGACAGGCTGGCCTTAATCATGAGTGTGGCATCCTTGAAGCCCACATGGTGTAGTAATAGGGCTCTTGATTGAAGGTGGCTGTGGGGATCAGAGCATCTGCAGATTATCTGGCGCCCCATCTCTGGGGGCTCCGCTTTGCTTGAGGGACAAGGATGTGTCATCAAACTGGGCTCTTGTAGATCTTGTTACTCTGATGGGGAAATACCTCAAGGAGCCAGGAAATTCCAGCCCAAACAGGGAGTTAACTTCCCGGTGTTCCAGGGATTCTGATCTCAACCCCCGGCAGCCAATCAGCAAAGAAGCTGCTTCAAACTGACAAGGAAAACAAACCCCAACAAAAAGCAGCTGGAGCCCAAACAAACAGACTCGAGTGAGGCTGGGAAGGGAGTCAGGCATGGCGTCATCGGGCTCCAGGCCAGGCCGTTGCCTAGGTGACAGGCAGTCCATTTACTAGCCTGCAGCTGAGCCAATTCTCAGAGGGGCACAGGGGTGTGCAGGGGAGCCTCACTTCTCTAAGGGACAGAAACCACAGAGAGCTCTCCTTGGCCTCAGCCTGGGACGCCGGGGTGGGAGAAGCCAGCCAGAGAGGAGGGAGGTGGCTACTGAAGCAGCACAGGGGCCTTTGGAAAGGCTGGGAGGCCTTCCCAGCAGAAAGTGTTTGCAGCTGTGTTGGCTTCCTGGGCAAAAGATGAACGGAAGCAGAAGCGGAGAAGTGGATCGAAGAGCTTTATAAAACAAAACCCCCCAAATCTCTCTCTCTCTCTCTCTCTCTCTCTCTCTCTCTCTCTCTCTCTCTCTCTCTAATGGAGGAGAGGAGGGTCTTTGGGAACCTTGGAGGTGGAATGTGGAAATACCTTGCATCCTTCAGGAGCTCATGAAGATCATAGTTCAGGTATTTACCTGATGGGCGAGAAGAAGGAACAGCCTGGGGTGTAAAACAACATCTGCAATTTGGGCCTGGTATTTCTGAGTTGCAAGCGCCAGCCTGATCCTCAGTGATGGGTGATTGTGCCCTGGAGGGCGGATTACTTTAGGACCAAGACCAGGCACCCTTCCTGGCCCTGGTCCTGTGTAAAGTCAGCCAAACAAACGAAGCACAGCGCAGGAAAGTGTCTTAGACCCTTCCTCCAGAGACCTTGCTGCAAGTCTGTCACCTGACAGGGCAAATACCGCTTGTGGTCAGAGTCATCTAGACAGACAGTAGGGTGGGGACTGGCGGGGCTGGGGGAGGGGAAGATGGGGAGTTGGAGTTTAGTGAGTGTGAGGCCCAGTGTGTGAAGGCCAGAGAGCCCTGGAGATGGAGAAGGTGCCTGCAGCATGAGAGGGTGAAAATGGCAACTTTGCATTGTACGTATTTTGCCTATTTTGCCACAGTAAAATGTATCTGTCAGTAAAGACTGTCTTCCTGTTGCACCAGAAGGTGGTGTTTTTGTTTTTTGGGTTTTTTGTGCTAGGAATTAAGCAAGTGCTCTGCCACTGAGCACACCCGGGCAGACGGTGGCGTTTGTTTGGAGGCCAACATCCGGGCTTGCCTGTCCACCTCTCTGAGTCCCCAAGTGGGACTCAGTATCTTCCTTACACCGAATGTGAAGACTTGGTATGAACAGAAGGGAACCGTAAGGACTGGAATGGGATTAATATGCTATTTCATTGTTCAGGTACCCACATGCCAAGGGGAGGTTAAAAAAAGAAAGCAAGCTTAGGGGGAAACTGAGAAAAGGACTGTATCTGGGATTTAGAGGAACTGGAAAAAGCCTGAATGAATGCCTCTAGAGAGCAGGAGAGAATTTTGGACTTGTTCTCAGAGGCTGACTGGGACTATCACAGGGACTTCAAAATCCTTCTCTCTTTTGCTCTGGCTAAATTGAGAAACAGGTTAAGCCCATCCAACAGGAAATAAAACAAAATGGAACAATGTCAAAATACCACCTCTCAAATTTCCTGAAGGGTTATAACACCGGGCTGGGTCAAAGTGTATGGGATAGAATCCAAACACATGAGTAGAGCCCGAGCACCATCGAAGTCTCATGAACTGTTGACAGTTTATTCAAGGCAACTTTTTCTTTCAGTCCAAAGAAATGAGTCATTAATCCCAGCCCGCACTGAACCGGTTATATTAGCATGTACCAAGCACTAAGCTAAGTGCAGTACGTACCTTATCTTCTCATTCCTTATAAGAATCATGCAAGGTGAATCTTTTTTTATAGATGACAACACAGGACTCATGTTTGCCAATTGGTCTTTCTTGATCTTTGCTTCCTGACCCATTAGATGAGAATAATGTTACAGCTAGGGGAGGTTAGCAGCTTTTCCCAACTCACACCTGGAAGCTGTAATGTCAGGATTTGGACCCAAGTCCATCTGACTCCAAAGCCATGTTCTCGAACACTACTGTGTTGGAGCTGACACTGTTGCTGAGAAAATTGCAAAACAATAGTGATAACATTGTGTGCTGACAGTGGTGCTGCTCTTGCCTGGAAAGTACAAGGTCCTGAGTTTGACCCCGGTACAAAAAAAAGAAAAAAAAAATGAGCAGTTGCTAAACTCTTTATCATGACATTGTATGATGTCACAATGACATACAGTGGGGAAGAGCAGTGAGGATCACTTAAAGATTTGGCTCTAAAGATGGGTGAAATTGGTTAGGTGTGGTAGCACACACCTGTAATCTCAGAATTCTGGAGGCTGAGACAGGAGGATTGTTGTAAATTCAAGGCTAGCCTGGGCTACATAGTGAGACTCTGTCTCAAAAAAAAAGTGTGTGTGTGGGGAACCATACCACAAAAAAGAAAGCTAGACATGACTGGTGCTATGGGTTTGGATATGGTTTGACTGTGTCCCCCAAGGCTTCATGTGTTGAAATTTAATCCTCATTGCAAGTTATTAAGATGGTGGAAACTTAATCCAACTGTAGTACTGCATTAGAGGCAGGGCCTTTGGAAGGTAATTTGGATAACTAAGTCATTAGAGTGGAGCCCCTTTTTGAACCCTGGTGGCTTTATAAGAAGGGAAACCAGAGGACACCAGAGGACACACACACACACACACACACACACACACACACACACATAGACATGAGCTCCCTGGGTTTTTCCATGTGGTGCCAGCTTCGCCCCAGGACTCTGCCAGCAAGAAGACAATCACCAGACGCAGCCCTCAGCCTTGGGCCAGAACTGTGAGCTGGAATAAACCTCTTTCCTCTAAAATGTAGCCAGTATATGGTATCATGCTACTAGCAGCAGGAAACAGACCAAGGCAACTAGGATCTATGGGCCAGCATTCTCTAGGGTGCAAGGACAGCCTATGATGTCTGAGGTGGGATAGTGTTGCCCCTCATCTCTCTCCAGCTGTCTTCCTGGGGCTCATCCTGTTAATGTTGAGGAGGAAAGAAGGTTTTTTGGTATTGGCATTCAAGGAGGAAGAGGAGGCTGAGACTGTTACTGCAGCAACACGGGAGATTGCCACCTGTCCACCCTTCCAGCAAATATTTATTGAGCATCTGTTATGCCCTAGTCTCTAGTTTAGGTGCCAGAAATTCAGTGATGAAAGGGATTAAGGAGTTGCTCTTATGGTGCATCTATTACAGTGTACAAAAGAGACATCGAACAAGTAAATTAACACGAAACAATATGAGCCCAAGGAGAGATTGGGTCCACGAAGAAAATAAGGCTGGGGCAGCGGGGAGAGTGACTGGGGTGGGAGTGCGAGCGCTTGCAGGCAATGCGAGCATGAGGATCTGACCTGAGCGGGCAGAGCGGCCAATCTAATCACATTCCGACTCTTATTATCAGCGGGAATGGGGTCAGGCAGAACACTTCCCTAGCACCCAAGAAGCCCTGGGTTTCATCCCCGGCACCACACAAGCACGCACGCACGCACAGGATCTGATTATTACATGCATACTCCGTTCCAAACCCAGACCCCATTTGGTCTCAGCAGGGCTATCTTTTTCCTTGTTCTCCTCTTCCCAAGGATCGGAGGGCACCTTACTTCCCCTAGCAGAGTGGAGGTGGATGAAGGACATAAAGGCAGGGGGTAAGGAGAAGATGGAGTCAGCCCCTGGGGAGGGGAGCACGGGGGTTCAGGCTTGGAGGCTTGTGGGAGGAAGAGTGGGATAGATTATCCATTCCTCTTTTCCTCACTCCTGTCTAATGGAGTTCCAGAGGGTGTTTTTTTTTTTAAATCTTTTTTATCTCAGATGTATTTGTTACCTCTTAAAGCAGCATGTGACCTGCTTATTTCCATTCATAAGCCTTGTTCTGAATTATTATTTTTTTCTGAATTATTTTTCAAACAGCATTACAATACACCTAGGAAAGTTCAGTTTTATTCCTCAAAACAATACTTTTCCGTGGGAAACAAGCCCTGTGGAGTTTCTGCCATCAAGTCGTTTCAGTTTAACACACTCCTTTCTAGAGGATAAGCACATGAAGAATTGAAACTGCAGGGGAACATTTATAAAAAGTAGATCCTACAAGATGAAAACTCAAGCTATTTTAACAAATATTCCTTTGAAACATCAAGATATCTCAATACTTCAGAGATAAAAGATTTGGTCTATTAAGGAATTCGGCTGGAGAAGTAAACACTTCAGGTTACAGACAGTTAATAGTAGGTTATATGTCTTACAACAAGCATCTCAGTCGGTCAAAATAAGCCAAGGTGAAACTAGAAAAAAGCAGTGCTGCCTCTGCTTTAGAGTCAAAAGCATCACAATATCACTTAAACGTAGAAAGAAATTTTATCTTCCCCCTTCAGCAGTTATCGTGCCATACAGAGTTAAATGCTAACAAAACAAAACAAAAAGACCCTGGAAAGTACAGCCTATTCTCCAAGGAAATGAAGGTAAAGTACTGAAACTGTATCCAAATCATTCTTCAGGTGGAGCTGAGTCTACTTCCATGTGCCATGTGTCGTTGTCTTCAGGGGGCAGCATTTCTTCAGTTACAGAGCAGTGGTGTCGTCAGGGGTGAGGTCATCCTCCTCAAAACCTAGACCAAGTTGGCATGTGTCCGGGGCTCTTCTACTCTGAAGCCAGAAGCCAGAAGTATGGTTTCATAAAGCAGGATGACCAGCTCTTTCACAGACTTGTCATTCTTGCTGGGGTGGGCTGTTGACTGTCCAAAGCCAATCGCATCATCAGCAATGCTTTGTGCAGGGCTCGGTTCGGGTGTGCAGTGGGGAGTGTGATGCTTGAGTCTTATGATGGACACAGAAGTGAAGTTCTCTCCCCTCATGGTCTAGACACAGAGTCGTGGGGCCCCGGGTCCATCTTGGGACCTCTGTGGAAGCTACCCTGAAGACAGGACCAACACACAGTGGATTTAATCCCCTGGCTAGGTTTAAGGCCTAGCTCCACCACTCAGTCTGTGTGACCTGAGGCAGGTTATTTAACCCCTTTATGCACCGGTTTCCACAGGCAGAAAGGAGGTCATTCTGTAGGAGTGCGGTGAAGCTTGAACAAGGTCATGTGGAGTGAGAGCTGTGGGTGCTGTGATTTGCACAGATTACCCTTCAGAAATCAGTGACCAAATTATCAGCCCCGGCCCTTAGCAATGCTCTGTTGCCAGACCTTTGCAGGAGTTGCCCCAGCTGAAGGAAACCACGCTGCCCAAGGTCATGGCCTCTTTTGGGGAGCAGACTGCACCTGGCGATTGATCTATGGAAACTGTAGCGGCCTGGACTCCTAACCTCAACTCGCAGCAACACGCCAGCTGGGCCACACCGGCTCTCTGAGGGGTGGGCAGTGGCCTTCGCTGGGCTTCCGGTTCAGCTCAACTTCTTCCTTTGCCTACTTTGCTTCTTTTTACTCCCTTTCTGCAGGTGTTGATCCTAACAGCACTGCCTGCCCGCTGATCCCGGAGTCTGCTTCCTGGGATCCAAGCCATGACTCTTTCACTGGTATCTATGACCATCACCACCACTACCATTGTCCTAAAGCATCCTAGGTGACAGAGAAAGGCTGCAAAGGAGAGAGGTTGCCCTACAGACTGGGAGGGGGGTGACCCTGTGGGCAGTGCAGAAAGTCCGGTCTGCTGAGGAGCTGGAGGAGTTGCCAAGTAGAGCAGAGGAGTCCTCCTCAAACCCTTGTCTGTAGTAATTTCTGTGTGAGTTGGACTCAGTGACTGGAATCTAAAGTGAAGCTTGGGTGTATGAGCCAGACCAGCCCATAGAAGAGTTTTGTTTGTTTGTTTTAGTTGAGATAAGGTCACACTGTGTAGCCCAGGCTGGCCTCCAACCTGTGGCAATCCTCCTGCCTCAGCCTCCCAAGTGCTGGGATTGCAGGTGTGCATCACCATGCCTGGCTAGTGGTGTTCACAGTTTGTATTGGACTCCTGGCTCATGCAAACCAGGATTTAGTCCAGGGCCTTGTTTGGAGCTTTGCTGGAGGAGGAAGTTTGTTCCTGGCCTCTGGTTTCTCAAGTCAAGTGATGGTGTTGTGGGAAAGCAGGCTGGTCATGTGCTTCTGTCAATGATAATGGCTCCAACTGAACCCCACTAGCATCATTAGAGGGGTTACAAGGGACAAGCACTGTGTGTGTGTATGTGTGTGTGTGTGTCTGTGAGTGAGAGAGAGAGAGAGAGAGAGAGAGAGA